CCTCTCTCCCCCCCCACCAGGAAGTTGAGCTCCACTCGTGCGCACATCACTCGGTCCGAGGTGTCGACGGAGAAGGTGACGGGCAGACCCAACGACATCTCCTCGTGCGCCTGGGCCTCGAACTCCCGGTGCACCCGCCGGCTCATGACGTGGTTCACATGGAAGGGGCGAACCGCGTTGCCAATGTCGGCGGCGTGCAGAATGATCTGTCGTGGTGGGATAGGGCGGGAGGGAGGGGGGATGGGTTTTGAGGGGGTGGAAGTGGGAGTGGCGGTGGGGGGAAAAGAAGGGGGGGAGAGGGAGGGTGTGTTAACGGGAGATGATAGATTCGGATCTTGATACAAGTAGGACAAGAATTGTGATACCAAAAAAGCCTCGCATGAGGTGGGAGAGGAGCGGGGGTGTGGGAGGGTCGTACGGCTGTCACGGGTCCATCTCCTCTCCCCTCCTCTCCCCTCCTCTCCCCTCCTACCTTTATCAGCAGCAATCTGTCCGACTCGTTATCGGGCTCATACCCCAGTCCGTGCTTCTGGAACTCCTGCGTGATGGTGAAGTGGTTGGCCATATCCGTACACAATATGGCCGCGATGATGACCTTGCGGGCCGCCCGCTGCTCCTCCGGTGTCAGCACCGCCAGCAGGTTGCAGTCCGCACGCGACAGGATGGCGAAGGTCATGGCGCAGTGGTGGTTCTCCAACACGGACTGGTCGTTGTAGATGCGGGAAAGCCTGAGCGGGAGAAGGGCGTGTGCGTGTATGTGTATGTGTCTATGTGTATGTATGTATGTGTGTGTTGGGGGGTGAGAGGGCGTACCTCGCGGGGGTTAGGATCCCACGAGTGAGGGCGGGGGGAAAGGGGAGGGGTAAAAGCAAATAGAGACTGGGTTTCGACGGGCTTTTTGCCGTAGGTGGGAGACCTGGGAAGCTCTCCTACACCACGGTTTTCGTCACATACACACACACACCTCCCCTCCCATTCCATTCCATCCCCCCTTCCCCCTCCCCCCACCTCTCCGTTCGTGGTTCGTCTTTCCCCCACCTCTCCCCTCCCAATCCACCCCCCCTCCCCCCTGGAGCTCACTCGCTTCCGCTGTTCACATGGAAGCTGTGGA